AAAAAAAAAGCTATGTACATAAGGGACTATATCTTCCTTCATCGTCTACTTGGAACCAGTAGTTGTGTTGCTGTCATAGAATCAGGGAAGAGGTTGTGGTAAGTTGGAAGAGGTACATAGGCTGCTGTTATCATTTTACCTGTTGGGAAAAAAAAAAAGGTATTTGTTTAAGCATATTCACTTAAGTTTTACAAACTAACAATCACTCAGAATGAAGATGAAACTCACCAGCAAACCACCTGCCATGCAACGCATTGACAGCAGCAATAGCTGCAGCAATTGAGGGGCACTTCACATACACATTGCCCTAAAATGCAAACAATAACACAAAGGTAAAGACATCCCTATAAACAATGTAGACCCACACAGATTTATTCAAGGTACCTACAGAAAAACCCAATGTTTTATTTGATAACCATAAAATGTATTAAATACTTGTTACAAAGGCTAATATGCATATCTCAAATTTTCCTGAATTGTGCCCTATAATATCTTTTGACTCTGATCTGAAAGCTAGAAATGACAAGACATGAGGATTTCATGGCAGGCTCTTATTATCACCAGTAACTGACTCTGGTCAACGTTTTGATTATATTGGAGAGTATATTTGGTCACGTTAAAGCTCTTTTCATAAATAACCATTCTAATCGAAGAGAGTGGCCATAAAATACTTTAGAGAGAAATACCTGAGCAGAATTCTTGTCAACGTAAATATGAATGACTCCACCATGTTTATTACATTCTTCAATCACATCATCCTTGATCTCTGTATCCCATCCAACTTCTTCTTCTCTGAAACAAAGTATTAAGTTATATTAGAACTCTATAGAAACAAATGAATACAGAAATATCAGAAGAATTTATAAAACTTTAAGTTTTTTTTAAAAGTACTCATAAAATTTTAAAATGTAAAACACTGTTTATAACCTAGTCTTTTTTTTCTGTAATGAATATTTAAATGATCTGCTGACTATTTTTTTCTCGTTTAGTCCATGGTGGGGATCAAATACTGCTAACTCTAAAATTTAAACTTTTATCAATAATTATAACTGTTTCATAAATGAAACTAAAAGAAATTTGGTATTTGGAGAACATAAGAATCCAGACACACTGGCATACGCCTGTCATCCAGTGATTTAGGAGGTTGAGAAAGAAAGAAGGATTGCAAGTTGAAAGCCAGAATCAGCAATTCAGTGAGGCCCTCAGTGACTTAGCAACACCCTTTGTCAAAATAAAACAAAAAGGGCTGGAATGAAAATTGAACAGAGGGGCTAAGGTTATGGCTTAGCCAAGGAGCACTCCCCTATCAAGTCCAAGGCTCTGCGTTCTATCCTCAGTAGCACATAAGAATACATAAATAGGGCTGGGGATGTGGCTCAAACAGTAGCACGCTCGACTGGCATGCGTGTGGCCCAGGTTCGATCCTCAGCACCACATACAAACAAAGATGTTGTGTCCGCCAAGAACTAAAAAATAAATATTAAAAAATTATCTCTCTCCCTCTCCTACTCTCTCAGAATAAATAAATTAAAGGTATTGTGTCCATCTACAACTGAAAAATAAATATTAAAGAAAAGCTGAACAGAAAACTTAGGTTTTTATTGACTTGGTATATTGTAAATATGATTTATAAAAGCACCAAAAACTGTACTAATAAATGGAATTCTAATACTTAGCTAGTCAAAGGTGAAAAGGCACACTCCATTAACATCA